CTCTATGGACATTCAGACCTGCCTCAGATAGACCAGCCCTTCTTCAGAAGGAAGCTCTCATCTGTACATCCGATAACACAGACTATGATTGCTCCCTCAGTGTGGGTCCTGAGAAGCCCCTTAGTCTATGTGCGGACAGGTTTCCAGGAAGGCAGCACCCTTTATGCAGATCCATAGAATAGGGTGGTATTAATAAATTAAGAATTATTCACGGGAGCTCTGGTAGCCTAGTGGCAAGAAGGTGCACTCCAATCCCAGAGGTACATGGTTCCAATCCACCAGATGCTCTGCTGGAGAAGGAGAGACAATATCTTCCTGTACCAGTCAATCTGATTTGACGGTACACGCACAAAAAAATAAAATTAAAAAAAATTTATTCAGACACATGATACAGCTCTAAAAACTTGACATCCTGGGCTTCCAAGCCTGCAGAAGTGGTTTGGACTGGTTAACGTTTGTTTTGTCCTCAGACCTTGTATAGAGACCGCTCTATAGTCATGCATGCAGATTACTATAAGCTGTCTGTTTACCAGAAAAGGAAATGCATCTTTCCTGAACTAGTATTTGTCTTTTGAAACTGCATTTCTCTCAGCCATATGTGAACTATGCTTTCACCTGTTTGTTTACTAGGAATTGTATGCAAATTATCCTTTTGAATGGAAGAACCATGAGACTTTGAACCAGAGATATTAACCTGTTAAGTGGATTAATATCTAACCCAAGTATAAAAGTCAATAACCATCGTTAGACAAGGAGATCTTTTTTGAGGGAATACTCGCAGCTCTCCCAGATCTGTAGTAAAGTACTTTGGATGCTGCAGTCTGTCATCTTGGCTAGTGACTATTGTCTTCACTAACATGTATGCATATCAAAGGGTCATACCCACACTTACCAGCTCACCTCTTAACCTATCTGGGCCTCACTCTCCTCATTTTATCTGTAAATCGGGCACACTGAGGCACCCGCATAACAGGGCTGTGATAAGCACTGAGTAAAACTCTGTATGGAAAATAGAGTGTTTCCTGGCACCGCACGGTTTCAGAGTTAAGCAATATGAGTGGGAACAGGACTCCAGTGTCATTGCTCATCTAGGAAACAGTTTGCCCCAAATCTCCATGGACATCTATCTGCCTCTTCCCCACGCGTGGGCATGTGGGCTTGGGCCCATCTGTGCTATCTGTACTAGCTGGACTTCAGGAGCACGCACGCTTGTACACACACACACACACACACACACACACACACACACACGACATGCGCCCTGCTCTCAGAGATGGCGAAGAGGCCTCTGCAGCTATCTCTGGGTCTCTGGCCAGATGTGAGCAGAGAAGGTGGGAGCTCCCATTCTCCTATCTGGAGGGAATTTTCTCCGGATCTCACTGGATGATGTGCCGTCATCTGATGCCTGTTGTTGGTTTGTAAGCACAGCACCCCACTAAGGGCACAGCACACGGGGTGCTGGGGTGCTGGTGTGCAGAGGGGTCAGCCTGGCCTGAGATCCTTCTTCATTAATGAAGGGTTCAGACTCACCTGTAGCCTAGTCCCTGGAGTCGTCCTCAGGAAAGGTTTGACAGGGTCTGGAAAGACAGAACCACCACCCAGTGAATACGGAAACCTACCAGGCCTTCTGCTGAACTTCCCTGTGTTTGTGGCATTAGCTCAACATTTTAACAACTTTCCTATTTTCTGGCAGCCTGAGGAGCTTCTAGAAGGTCTTGGATAAATGCCACTGGAATATGTGACTGTCTTCTCTGGACTCGTCTCCCAGCCCTCCCAACCTCTGACATCTTCCCTGCAACTTCTGGATCCCTCCTCATGACCAACATATAAAGACAGACCATACTTTCTGTGCCACTAAGATGCTGGGTTTCCCGTGACACAGTAGCCCACGGGAAGGGGAGGCAGGAAGAGGAAGATGAACTGCCACTTGACCCCACTGGAAAGGCAGGTGCTGGTTTTGGTGGCCTCAACATGGCCTGTGGGAGCTTTGGTGGCTTAGTGGGAAGAAGCTGCTCTGAAATCCCAAAGACCTGCAGTTCAAATCCACCAGCTGTTTTGTGAGAGAAAGGTGGGCAGTCTCCTCCGTGAGAATTACTGCCTCTGAAAACTCCTTAGAGTCAGCTATGAGTCAGTTCTGACTCGACGGCACACCACAAACCACAACAACAGTGAACAAGAGCAAAGAGATGGCTCCTCAGAGGCAAAGTGTTAGATATAAAAAAGGAGTACGAGGGCGGGAGGGAGAGAAACAAAGAAAGAAATTGGTTCCAAGAAACGAATAGGCCTTATTGTGGGGTCTGAGAGGGACGCCAAGTGACCCAGCCTAGCCGCATGGCATGTAGACAGGATCCAAATGACACCTGGGCAGTTTGGGGGGTTTCCTTTTTAAAGAAGTCCTGGGGAGGACTAAGATCATACTTCTTGGAATTTGGCATGTTAATTTAGCTAGGTTTTAGCTTTTGTTTGTTTTCTCAAGCTCAGACTTTTATCAGGATCCATTGTTTGGTCTGGTCCTTGATGTGACCAGCTCAAGGTGTTATTAAGTTTCTCAGGAAGTGGTCAAGCTTGGGGGTGGTGGGGCAACTGCCATATTCTCCCTTCATTAAGAAGGTGAAATTTCCTCTCACATATGTTAGGCATACTGTTAGTAGGGGCTGGTACTTGGGAAAAAAACAAACAAAAAAAAAAACAACAAACCCCATCATGTTGGGAAAGAAGGAAGGTCAGAAAAAGAGAAGAAGGGATTGGCAATGGGCTTGAACATACCAGAGGTGGTGAGAATGGTGCAGGATACGGCAAGGTTCAGATCTGATGTTCGTATGATTGCTATTAACGTCAAGAAGACAAAGATTCTCACTACAGGGCCAATTGGCAACACCTTGATGGACAGAGAAGAGATTGAGGTTGTTACCAATTTCAGCTTGCTCAGCTCCACACTCAACATTCTTAGCACCGGCAGTCAGGAAATCAAAATAGGAATTGCACTGGGAATGTGTGCTATCAGGGACCTCTCCAGAGTGCTGAAGAGCAATGATGTCAGTCTAGAGACTAAGGTGCGTCTGATCCATAGTCTTCGCAATTACTTGCTTTGCATCAGAGGGATGGGCAATGACTAAGAATGACAGAAGAAGACTTGATGCTTTTGAGCTGTGGTACTGGAGAACAGTATTGAACATACCATGGACCACGAGGAGAACAAATAAGTCTGTCTTGGAGAGGGTAAAATCAAGTTTCTCTTTGGAGGCAAGGATTTTGAAGCTCTATCTCACATACTTTGGACATGTGGCCAGGAGTCCTTGGAGAACATTATGCTAGGAAGGGTGGAGGGATAGTTCAAGAGAGGAAAACCTCAGATGAGACGGATTGACTGGGTAACTGGGGTAATGGGATTAGGTGTGTCAGAGTCAGTGAAATTGGCTCAGGACAGGGCAGGGTTCAGAGCTATGTTCATAGGCTCGCTATGAGTTGCAGGCAACTTGATGGCACATAAGCACAACATTTGAAGCATGGATTCACAGCTCCCACAAGGAATTCCTTCCTTGAGATACTAATTCTTGATCTGCCAGGTATCAGAAACAAAGGGTCATTTAACTATCAGTATATTTCATTGTTGGGGCTTGCTGAAACTGAAGAGGACCTGAAGCGCCTGCTGCAGAGTGTCAAGGACTGCAGCCTACAATATGGATTGAGGCTCAATGTCAAGAAGACAAAGAATCTCATCACTGGACCAATTGGCAGCATCAGGATGGATGGTGAGGAGATTGAGATTGTACACAGCTTTAGTTTGCTTGGCTCCACAGTCAACACTCTTGGCACCAGCAGCCAGGAAATTAAAAGGCGCATTGCCATGGGAAAGTCTGCTGTTAGGGACCTCTCCAAAGTGCTGAAGAGCAGTGGTGTCTCTCTGTAGACTAAGGTGCGTCTGATACAGGCCATGGTCTTCGCAATCACTTGTTATGCATCAGAGAGTTGGGCAATGACCAAGTAGGATAGAAGGAGAATTGATGCCTTTGAGCTGTGGTGCTGGAGAAGAGTATTGAGAATACCATGGACTGCTAGGAAAACAAACAGATTTGTCCTGGAAAGGGTTAAACCGGGTGGCTCCTTGGAGGCAAGGATTCTGAGGCTCCGTCTAACATACTTTGGACATGTTGTGAGGAGAGACCGGTCCTTGGAGAAGGACATCATGCTTGGGAGGGTGGAGGGACAGCACAGGAGAGGAAGGCTCTTTATGAGGTGGATTGATTCAGTGACTGGGATAATTGGGATGGGAGTGTCAGAGACAGTGCGATTGGCACAGGATAGAGCGGAGTTTAGGGCTGTTGTACATAGGGTTACTATGAGTCGCAAGCGACTCGACGGCACATAACAACAACAACATATTTCATTGTTACTTATCCTTTCAATAATTTCTACCCCTTGTTCATGGCTGAAATACGTATAATAGATAAGTGAATCTCTGACTGTGAGTCTGGCTTTATTCTCCTAACACATTTGACTGTTATCCTCAGATCCTGGTCCTTTTTGGAATCTGGGGAAATGAATTCACTTTCCACTTGGGGTCTTCTGGTGTCCATATGTGGAATGAAACCGGTAGAGGCACGTCCCACTCTGGGATCCTGAGATTTGGAGGCAGCACAAGCCCTGCCTATGAACTCCCTTTAGCCACATTCTTGGCCCAGAGCTAGCCGCAGTATCAAAGGATTGACAAGATTTGGTTTGATTTCATTTCCTTTCTAGTCAGCATTTTTATGGATTCCTGCCTGAGCTGTCCGGGGACTCAGGAAATGAGGTGATCAGCAGGGGTACAGAAGAAACAGGGAGGGAGAGGCGGAGAGGCGATCACCGATTGGGTAACCGTGTTGTGCAAACATGGAGAGGTCAAAGGCTGTGCCTAGCTGACTCCCCAGGCGGAGTATAAAGGGTCTGGGGGCCCTGGGAGAGGCAGCACAGAACCAGAGTCCATCTGTGCTCGCTGCCCAGCGCCACAGACCGGGAGGATGAGGCTTGTCATCAGCGCCCTGCTGGCCTGCGCGGTCCTGGGTAAGTGTGGTCCCACAGGCCGTTGGCCACTTGCTGTCCTACACTCCGTGGGGCATCCAGGCACAAGATCTGTGCATCATCTAATTGTTGCTGGAAGCCTTTCATTAGCCTCCTCCACTGTTTGAGATCTTTTTTATCACCGCCTGGCCAACTGCTCCTTGGGGTGCCTTCCCAAGCTTCCTGTTCCCTTTACCCTGCTGTCTCCCCTTCCTTCTTGGTCTTCTCTGTGTCTTCCTCCTCGTCCTGGCCCAAAAATCTTGCAGCAACTCAGTGCAACCAGAACATGAGAACAATTGTTCCCAATCACAATTTACCAAACCCTGCCTCGCTGCCCCTTCCAGCCTGCATCCAAAGCCCCCGGTCTGACTCTGCCTTCCTGGGCAGTCTGATCTCTACCCTGTTGGAGCCCTTGGCACAATTGGCAGCTCAGTGAGAAGAGACATGCAGCTGGGTGGCTCAGAGAGTGACGTCTGGGCTTTGATGTCAGACTCTTTGGGTCCAAATTCTGGACTCATCACTTGCTGTGTCCCAATATAATATGAGAAATAAACACCAACTTACTTATGTTTAAAGGACTCTGGTGACTTAGTGGTAAGCTATGCTGCCATCCCAAAGGCACATGATTCGAATCCACCAGCTGCTCTGGTGCAAAGATGGGCATTTCCTCGCTTTGCAGTTGAGTCGGCTGGAGGTGGTTCTGACTCCATGGTACACAACAACAGCAACAACAACTTGCATGTACTTGCTAATCTGTAGTGAACAATTTCAAATGGGTTTCGCTCCGACTTCCTGTGTGGAAAACATGAATCTATCCACGACAGATTAGCCATAAGCACAAAGATACATGTATACATAGTTTACAGGGTAATCTGACACTGCCCACCACTTGGAGGGCTTCTTTGCACCTCCAGCCCCAGCCTGCATTCATCTAGTGTGGTCAAGTGAGGGTTAAATGAGCTTCCTGGATGCCCAGAGGGTATAGCACCCCCAGAGACCCCAGGTCTGATCACTCCTTGAAGAAACCTGACAATGTCTATCCCCTGGTAAGGAACCATCTTCCTTAGTCCTCCCTAAACCACTATAGAAAGAAATTGGTGGCGGCGGGCGTGCGAGGCGCGGGCTGTTGTGCTCTGGGCTCTCGCCTTTCCCCTTCTTGGCGGGTGGAGGAGGTCGAAGCGGTGCTCAAAGCGCTTCCCCGCTTCCTTTCCCTCCCGGCGACCTCCCTCGGCCCTCTCCTCTTGCGGCGCGGACTCTCAAGTCCGCCCCAGCCCGGATATGGCTCGTGGGCAGCAGAAGGTTCAGTCTCAGCAGAAAAATGCCAAAAAGCAAGCTGGACAAAAGAAGAAACAAAGCCATGATCAAAAGGCTGCCGCCAAAGCTGCTTTAATATATACCTGCACTCTCTGTAGGACACAAATGCCAGACCCTAAGAACTTCAAGCAGCACTTTGAGAGCAAACATCCTGACTCCACTTCCTCCAGAATTGGCTGACGTTCAAGTATAAGGTTGTTTACAGGTGAATCCGTGACACCTTTGACTCACTCTTCTACTGTCTCAGACCTTAGGTAACAAACCTGCAGCTGCTTTTCTAACAAACTGTTGATCAGCAAAAATAAAGGGGCTACAGAAACACTGTTCCCTTTTGGGCTTCATTGTAAAGACAATTCTGTGTAAATGTACAGTTGACTCTGATTTGGAAATCCAAAAATCAATCCATCCTTGTTTTAAAAATTTTTATTGAAGCTTTTTTATCTTAAATTACAATTGGTATTACCGGAGTTATTCAAGATTTGACCAATTTTGCATTGACAGGAAGATTGCAATGATTTATGTCTGGGTTAATTCTCAGAACCCTCTTCTCTTTTCTTTTCAGTGAGCTGCTGATTTTGGGAGTTGACTTTGTGCTGGTTCCTAAAATCAAAGACTCTGTGTAGAGCATGACTTCAGGATGAGCTAGAAAGTATTACTCTAGACCAATACCTCATTCTTTTAAATAAAGCTATGGAGAAGTGGGTTGGTTCACATAGGTGAGGTCACTCTTACCGAGTTAAGAGAAACTAAATTAAGAGGTCCTCTAATTTGCTTTTGTCATATATTAACCTATATGAGCAAAACTGCTGTGTAACAGGGTTTTTCCCCCTTACACAATTTAAAGTGAACATAATAGGAAGAACACTCAAGTATTTACTGGAGATTGCTTTAGAACCGAAAACCTGATCTTGTGGATAATAAAATGCATTCCCTCTTTCTGTTGTAACTCCCCGCTGAGTTTGTTTTATAGCTGTGCATATTTTCTAGCCACCTTGTCTGTCTTCACTGTAAGTTTGAGATATGATAGTTCCAAGGAAAACTTCCAGGAATGAGTTTCTTAGCAAGTCCCATTCTGAGACCCTTACTTTAAAGTACAATCCTTTTGTTTTATGTATTTGATTTCCCAGGTTTCAGATTTAATATTTCTTATTGCCTAATATTTGTAGGTTGCCAGAACATTAGAATTTTGCCTAATTTCATGTAGGTATTACATAAGTTCTGGTTAAATAACAACTTAAAAACTTTTAAAAAATGCTTTCAGCTTATGTATGTTTCTGTTTAATAACAAAATAATTTAAAACTCTTCATAAATTTCTGTTCAGTTTTATTTTTTACTCCACTTGTTTCTATGGCTGTAAATAAAAATTCTTGGTTCTTGTACGTAGCCATTTTTAATAAGCAGCTGAAGACACCATATTTAAATTTGTTTCAGTGATAGGGAAAAAAGCTGCATTTTTCTTGCATAAAATAGTTCTCCTACTTCACATGGAGATGATCATTTTACTATTTTGAGTTGTATCTGCTATAGAAGGAAAAAGAATTCTTAAGCATCCTCATTTAATATGAGATTTTTTAACAGATCATAACAAAGTTCATTATACAACTCTTGTGGTGTCTTCAAAGACTTGATAAAATAGACAGAGAAAATTGGTCCAAGTGTATTCTGTATTCCATTAGCTGTCAAAAGGAACGAAGTTAAGATCCAATTTGTTTCCATTCTCTTCATGTGGAACTACATCCCCGTGTTTAACTGACACACTGGGGTTCAGATGTGTGTTGTACTATCTTATTAAAGAAGAAAATAAAGCTAAACTAGTCCAAAAAAAAAAAAAAGAAAGTAAGAAAGAAATTGTCCTTGTCTACCCTCCTGCCATTTTTTTGTGGGTTTTTTCCCTCTTTTTGTGTGCTGTCAAACTGGATCCGCCTGGCACAGGCAGAGAATACCCCCCCCCCCTTCCCCAGCAGAGCATATGGTAGGGTCGAACCATGTACCTTCGGGATTTTGGTGAAGCTTCTTGCCATTAGGCCACCAGAGCTCCCCCACTCCTGTCATTTTGACCTTCTCCAGGCATGGTCACTTGGTGTTCCTCTCAGACCACATAATAAAGGCCTGCTCATTTCTCCGGGACCAGCTTCTCTCTTTCTCTCTCTGGCTCTCAACTTTTTTTCCTACCTAACAATACATTTGAGCTCTTTTTCCCCTTCAATTTCTCCCAGTCCTTCATTCCTTGGGAATCTTCTTTGTTGAGTGATTTTTTTTCTCCCCACATAACCTTTTAAGTTTTATCTGAATTTACAACCATTCAGTTGTGTTTCTATTATTTGAAATGCCAGTATTTCCTTGAAGAATATATATGTTTAAAT